CCTTCTAAGGAAACCGAAAAATTTAGAGCAGCGAATCCAATACTCAAAAACTATATGCTTTTAAACAGATCTAACCTCCTTATCCAAGACGAAACTTTCAGTGAATTCAAAATTTTATACGAAGTTTGTTACTTTACGTTTCAATCGTTTTTCTGAGCTTGCTATTAAAATTTTTGCGCTCTTTCACAAAAATAAATTGTGTTTTTCCTTTTTAAAGTTTCACAAAAAAATTAACATCTAGAATGTGGTTTTTGGCAGCTGTTATTTTCAAATGCCTATCTTTTACAAAGGCTTCTGTACATATTGATTATGAATTATATTTAAAACATTTTTCAGCTTTTTTAGATTATTTAATTGTAAAATATTTAGTACCTACCAATCCTTATCCAAGATTAAACCTAATTCGTATTAAATTTTGGTACTCTGGTCACTTAATCAAATTAGATTGCTTTATAGAGGGAAAGAAATTGAACTGATGTCAACCTAACTTCGATTCTATCAGTGGTTCCTCATATCTATTTAGACTACGGAAACTGAGACAAGGGCTAATACTGAACTAAAGATCTGCACAAACTTATCCGGTCGTAAACTGACATATCGCAAGTGGTACACTAACATGCAACAGTTTGTCTGAAATTAAATTCAATTAAATTTAAGGCCTGCCTTTTTTATTTGCTAATCAAAAGAAAGAGCTCTCTAAAATCATTGTGTTTTTTGGATCTCAGAAAACGTTTCTAAACTTCTTCTTAATTCATTTCACTAAAAATATCAAAATTCGCTCCTGTACATCAGAATGAGAAGAATCGGAACAGAGAGCGCTTGAAATGTAAAAAAACTTAAGTTCGAAATTTTCCAGTGGAATAAAAAAAAATAATTTTTGATCGGTTTTAATCAAAACATGCTAGTGGATCAAAATGAAAATGACAGTCAAAAAATTTTGAAAATTTCTAGGAGTTGAAAATGAGTTGAAAAGGTGTTTTGAAAGGCGTTGAAAAAAATTGTACTTAAATTTTCAAAGATCCAAAACAATCTAAAGCAATTATGTCACTTTTTACCATTTCGTGGTTGATTGAGGATGCTTTTATCGTTTTGTTGGTTTACGCTTCGCTTCGGTGTGTTTTTGATATGAGATTTTATGGTCCAGAAAACAAGGCGTTGAATGCAAAACACATAAATACAAATCATTTACGGCGACTTTGCTTATTGTTTATGTTAACTGCACATAGTTTCCGCAATGGAAAGTTGCTTTCAAATGTCGGTTGTTTTGTTTTGACACGCCGAAAGGAGAATTATTTGGGTCTGAAACATGCTATTTGTAACATATATTGGGGGTTAATTGGTTTTATAAAACGCTTCAAATCATTTTACTAAGCTCTTCAGTTGTTATTTGCTGAAAAATGTTTATAATCAGGCGAAACTTGAAGTGAAAATGAAGATGAATATCTTCGTCGAATGAGATAATGTACGTCTTATTTTTGAGAGGCTTCATAACTTCAATTTGCCATGCTTTTTTAAACGTCTTACGTTATTTTTGACTTATTCCTTCTTCAATCTTTTGGGCCGAGCAGAGATTTTGATATTTACGGATAAAGGCTAAGCAGAACTGCTGCTCGTATCAGCACAAAGCCCTGAATGGTCCGACTGCCCTTTAGTTGGTCTCGGATAGTTTTTGATAAGTTAAATATTGGTAAAACTAAGAGATTTAGGCTGATAATATCAAAAATATTATCAAAAACCAACTAGCTGCCTCAATTCATTTTGAAATGATTTTTCTAGTGCGGGATAATAAAACCAGTAGCTTTAGACAAACTTATGGCAGGTTACTATAGTGGTGTGCCCACTCGACTGGCAGATCAAAAGATCCATCCCTCGAGGGAGCAGAGTTTTGTAAAAGTGGTCTGGTTAGAAAAAACACCCCGAGCATATATATTACTCACTTTCTTCAAAAGTCGGAACAATAACCTTGTCGTTTCTCAGATCTGATAAGAAATTACCCTCCCTATCGTAGCTATCAAAGAGTTGCCGCCTCTTTAAATATAAGCTGTAAATTACCACTAGAACATTTTATTTACATGCGAATTTTGCTGCATTCTGATTGGTCGGAAATTTGATAATTTAACCTAATTAACAATTGCCCTTTCTCAAAAGGGGTAGGGTAATTGTTAAGTACCTCCTTTTTGTCAAATTGATTTTGATCAAAAAGTATTCTGCTCTAAAAAAATTATAGCCGATTCTACTCTGAAGATGCAGCGTAAAGTTCAAACTGTTAAGACAGATTTTTTAATCAGTTAAATATGAGTTGTAAGCGTAAAACAAGACTGCTAGTATCAAAGCAAAGGTTCTGAATTTTCTTTAACGTCTATGGATTAGTGTTCGATTTTGACAATAGTTTAAAACATTAAAAAAATATATTTTAAAAACATTTTGATTTATTTTGTAACCCTGCCCCACATGTTATTGGAAGAATTAAGTGATATAATTAGCATAGATTAACTTTATGCCTCAATTGGCTACGTTGCAAAAAGCAAACAAGTCATAAATTAAACACGTCAAAAGTTAGACACCTACTATATTAACCAATCAGAGTCGAGAACAAAAAGCAAACTTAGGAAAAAATTAATAATTTTTATTTATTTCCTGAGTTTGTTTTCTGTTCTCAATTCTGATTGGTTCATATGATACTTGTGTATTTTTTGACTGGTATGATAAAAAAAGTTGTCTACTTTTGACCGCACGCCGCTTCAAGTAAGACTGGATTGAATATAAACCGGATTCAATCTTCGCTTACGTGTTAAAAGGGTGGCGTAACTTAGGACGGAGAGACCGCATTGTGGAAACTAATTTCAGCCTATAATAATAAAGCATTGCAAAAATCTCAAAAAATGAGAAAAGTTTCAAAATAATAAAACCAATAGCAATTAAGAGACAAATAAACTTTCAAATATTGCCGGATTTCAGACGTTGATGTAAGAAAGTTGATACCGATTTTTAAAAATTAAAAAAACTGGACAAAAAAACTTTCCAATATCTGCATGATTAGCTGCAAACGTGTGGCTGTACTGCTAAAATTCAGTTTCTGCGAGCAAAATTTTGATTTAACTATTCATTTGTAGCGAAGTAGAGTCTGACGATTCTGGTTGATTGAAAATTTGGGGAGATATAGCATGAAGTATATCGCCCCAACATGGCCGATATGGCTTGAAAGGGACTTACCAAAAATGTCACAACTAAAAAAATTGACTTGAGCTCAGGGCAACAAAAGCACAAAAGATACAAAACTTCCATCAAAAAGACTAGTTAAAATCAAATTGGTATGGAGAAAAACGGGTGTCATAAATGTTTGTCATAATTTTGCTTGAGCGTCAAATGAAATCACTCTAAGCTGAATTGAAGACGACAAAGTAACATTATCATCAAATTACTAGCCGAATAATACATTGCGTGGTAGAACAAAGTTAATTATATATGTTTTTTAAATTTCACTTTCTTTGCACACCTTTAAACAAATTTTATAACCGATTTTTTTTTCATCGACGTTAAAGCCTACTTGGGACATTCTGAGTTTTGTAATGTTACGAGCAGTGTGTTGTTCCTACTTTCAAAGAAATGGTGCAATATTGTTGCCCGGGGCAGGGGCAGAGTTGGGGTTTTTTTGAGGGGGCGGGTCGGATTTAAAAAAAAATGTAGGTTTCCCAAAGCACTAAAAAGACCCTGTTTTGGCCAAAAATTCTGCGCCGCAGGCAAAGTTTTGAAAAAGCAGGCCGAAACAGTCGTTTTTAGGCATTTTTAGGAAATTTTGACCAAAAGATTGCGTTTTTTCGGCGCGTGCTTCCCCCTTAAAATTAGGGTATAATGGCGCCAAAGGCGCCTTTAGAAAGTTTTTAGGTTCAGTCAGCCAAAAATGGATATCTCAAAATAGTGCAAAGGGGGACCCTTTGGGTCGGCAGGGGGTCGAACCCCTGAGAGAGGAAAGGCGTCGCCCCCCCCCTCCCCCCTAAATCGGCCCCTGCATTTGTTCATTTCTCAATTTTCATTTTCTCAACAGGTGGGAGATACAGAAGTGGTTACATCCAGGGGGGATCTAGGATTTTCTCGAGGGGGTGCGGATTTTCAAAAGGCGTTTTTAGGCACTTTTTGGAAAGTTTTGACCAAAAAGTCGCGTTTCTTTTGGCGCGCACTCCCCCTCAAAATTAGTATATATTGGCGCCAAAGGCGCCTTTAGAAAGTTTTTAGGGTCAGTCAGCCAAAAATGGATATCTCAAAATAGTGCAAAGGGGGACCCTTTGGGTCGGCAGGGGGTCGAATCCCTGATGGGGGGGGGGGAGCTTGACCAATTTGTGACAACTACTGAGTGATCTATTTCGTCTTATCAAAGCGTAATCGGCAAAATAAATAATTTCGATTTGAATCGAGGTAAGTTTTTTGATTTTCTTAATAGGCAACCAGACCTAACATAACAGTAAACGTGTTAGGCGTGTTTAGTTTTCCTATATATGCATATAATATTCAATTTTATAAACTAGTGTCCCACTCTCAGGGTTTCGACCCTCTGCCCACTATTGATACTATTATAAGAGATCCATTTTTTTCTGACCGACTGAAATTTTTTCTAAAGTTGCCTATGTCGCCAATATATAATAATTTTGAGGCGGATTGCGCGCCGAAAAACGCAACTTTTGGGTCAAAATTTTGCAAAAAGTGCCAGAAAATGCCTAATAGATTCTTTATATTGATTTTGTAATCAGAGAAATGGTGCTAAGAAAATCAATTTGGTCGACTGAAATAAAGTAAACAAATTTTTCTTTTAAAAAAAAAAATCCGCCCCCTCGAGAAAATCCTACATCCGCCGCTGAGTATACTTAAACGAATAAAATACTTTAGGTACACTAATACATAACAGTTTCAATCCAACAACTTCTCATTTAAATAAAATGTTTTTAATATTATACGTAAAAACAATGTTGAATGAAATTGTATGATTTTTCTTTGGGCTATTTCAGACGGCGAGGACGAAGACCCAGTGTTTCTTCAAGAGAAGGCTGAGTTGTGGGAGGAGCAGCGACTGAACGGGACAGGTGGGGGCTTTGGGAAAGTGAACTTGAGGTGTGGGGAGTTGTTGAGCTGGGTTCCCAACTGGTGGCTGTGTGATGGGAGGAACCACTGTCGCAATGGATTCGATGAGATGCACTGTGAACAGAACAAGACTTGTAAGGCGAATGAGTTGTTGTGCGATGAGGGATACAACTGCATCGCACACGTCAGTATTCAGTTCGTTTTGCACCATTTCTTAATCAACTCAACTACCTTTTGTACTTGAGGCAATGAACGAGCATGTCGATTTATTCAGCTACTTACGGCTTCGTTTCACATTGATCATATTTTACTATATTTTGGCTGTTTCATTTTCCATTATTACCTGAGGGCTTAACCGAGAATATCGGGGACCAGCTTCTGACTTTTATGTTGTCTTTTCTCACATGTAATTTGTTGTTTTCTTTTAACTTCGCCAATTAAAAAACTGATGACAAATTAGAGAATTTGAAATGTTTTTATTTGACAAGTTTCTTTGAAAAGTGTAATTTTTTGAAACCTTAAACGTTGTTTTTTAAACTAAAAGTTAAAGTTAATTCATCTATAATTTTGTTCAGGACTGGAAATGTGACGGGCTAATAGACTGTCCTCAAGGCAGTGACGAGGAAGACTGTCCGAATAGGATAGACTGTGAGAAGGAGGGTCTGATCCAATGTCAGTTGAGCACCTGGTGCATCGATGAGTCATGGATGTGTGATGGGAACGGGGACTGTCTCTACGATGAAGACGAGGACAAGATCACATGTGCCAACCACGAGTGCAAACCGAATGAAAAGAGGTGTCCAGGGCATACATATGCGTGCATTGACGAAACTAAGGTGAAAACAAACACAGGAAAAAGTCCCAGAGCCAATTTTTATACAATATGTGGCCAAAAAATTCTTTTGAAGAAGTTTTTTTCTTCGAGTGTTTCCAATAGAGCTGTAAAGATTCATCTGAATGACCTAAAAACTCCATGAAATGCTCTATAATTTGCCCTTTCGTAGATTCGCCCTGCGTTTATGTACTCATGTTTTTATACTGTTTATGCCTCCAAGTGTTTTCAATTTTTTTCTCTCATACCAGATCTGCGATGGTTTCATCGACTGTCCATCTGGATTGGACGAGGTGGGCTGCGAGTCTTTGATTAGTTGTGAGTCTTCCCTCAGCTCTCCGAACAAACCCTCAATCGACATCCCTGCAGCTACTACGAGTACTAACAACACTGGATCACTCGATCAGCCGGATCTATCTGGATCAAAAAATGGCGATGGACCCTTCAAAATGATGTGTTCAGATCAATCCAGGTGCGAAAGATTATTCAGAGAACTTTCTGAATGATAGTAAAAATACATAGTGCTGATTTATGTAATGTATGGAAAACAGTTTCTCACTAAAAGCGAAAGGTTTAGGAGGTGCTTAAAAATCAAAAAGACATAAAGCTGCAGAACGGCTGGTAGGTTGGTGCCTATTCTCATTCGTCTTTTGTCTTGCCTTCTCAAGTGCTGTCGATTTTTTATTTAAAAAAATACTATTAAGAATCAGGGCCTTTTCTTCCTCTGCGTGCAAATTTTTACCGGTAAAACTTCTGGTCATACAATTCGATTGTTTTGAAAGTTGACGGGCAGACAAAATAGCCCAGTGCACTAGCGAGTATTTTCACTCGGGCAGAATTGCACTCGTTACACACATAAGACCATAAAACTAATGCTCATATGAAGTAGTGGTTGTGGTGGTTGTGGAGCTGCTAGGAAAAGGGAATTAAAACTGTTGAAAATAAGTTTTGTAAATCTATTACTGATTCCAACTTAATAACTCCATGCATACCCTTTCCAGGTGTATTTTGTCGTCTTGGCTGTGCGATGGGGTGCAGGACTGTGAAACTCCTGTGGACGAGAGGAACTGTGGCAACGAGCAGCTGTCCTGTTCATCCGTCAAGTGAGTGAACAATTCCAAAAAAAATCGAAAAACTTCAAAAATTAAAAAGATAATAACTTAGTGGGAGTACAGGTGGGGGCCAAAAACTAATTTGTGCTTTTTTAAGTTTATAAGAAAAAAATATGCAATTCATGTAAGAAAAAAGTTTCTCATCATTGAAAAAAAGTTACAAACCAAATTTCAACGCTTTAGGTTCCTGGTCAAAATTAATTTTGCGCAAAAGTTTCCATCGTTAATTTCTCTGAAGAAGTAATGATTCCGAAATGGCATCACCTTGTGTTAAAACCCAAGTAAAATTGTCACTGTTATTGCTTTGTGGACTTTTGTGTAGGATCATGTGTCTCGATCAGTCTTAGGTCTATTATCTAATTTGTTCAGAATTTATGTTAGAATTTTTTTTCGATATGTCGAAAAATGTATGAATAATTAAATGAATGAAATGAATTCCAGCAGAATCACAAGCCTCATAACAGAAGTTTGGCATCAAATTATTTACAGTAAAAAAGGTTCCTTGGTTCAACCACGCATTCGCCCTCACGCGACTGACTATTGTTTAGATATTACAAGTGAATTCTTTTTTTTTGAAGAAAAACCACAGCAGATGGCGAACGGAAAGATCAACTGATTTGACTTTTAAACAATCAAATCAATTTTTTTTGTAGTGTCTTCAAGGAAAATCACTTAAAACCACCACTGGTAGCAGCAGTGGATTTGTTATTATGACCCAAAAATGTTTGGGTCAACGTTCGGCTATGATCAGACTATGTTAAAGAAAGTGTTGAGATATGTTCAATTTTTTTTGCACTTCAACACATGCGTATGGACTATGATTGATGGTTCCAAACCGGTACTGTTTGGGACTCTGAAAGTCTAAAGGTAAAGCCATGACCTAGGCCCGGGTCATTTATTACGTTGCGAGAGAACGGTGGTGAAACTAATGCTTCTGCCTTTGATGTTGCAGAGGACTAAAACGAAAAAAGTTTTGCCAAAAAAACAGAACCGATTGCTTTGCTTTCGGATTTTTCAGTAACGTCTTGTGTCAATATCCCAAACAGGAGGCGGAAAATATCTCTGTATATAACCCCAAACAAAGTATAACATACATGAAATAGCTTGAACAAAGTTTGAACATATCTGAGCTTAGGCCCGATCGCATTTTAATCATGGTCGATAAATTTCACACATGGTCGCAGACCAGCGTAAAAGTACGATGTTACACAATAGGCCGAGAACAGAGGAAAACGATAAATTTGATCGACTTATCACAGAAATAAGATCACATTGTGTAGCGAATATGTGTTGAAAAAATTTAAAAGTTGAAATTCATCAGCAGAAACCAGACTGCCGTACATCAGAGCAAAGCCCTGAATGTTCCGACTGTCTTCGGAAGAATTTTCTGAAATGATTGAAAAAAAAGAGAAAACTTTGTTTGTTGTTTATTTTTTTATTTTTAGTTTTATAAAATTAAAAAATAAAGTTAGACATGTAAAGTACCAAGTGGTTTGTTTTGAGTTTGGTTGTATGTTACAAAGATCAATATGCTTGCCTCAGCTCTAATTGAAAAAAAAATATTTTGCCCCTAACTGAACTGAATGTTCGCTAACTGAATGTTATATATATAACATTCACTTAGCAAACATTCAGTTAGCGGCAAAATATTTTTTTTCAATTAGAGCTGAGAGCATATTGATCTTGGTAACATGCTACCAAACTCAAAACAAACCACTTGGTACTTTAAATGTCAAACTTTATATATTTCAATTTTACAAAACTAAAAATAAAAAAATAAACAATAAACAAAGTTTTCTCTTATATATATATATAAATATGCTTAGTGTGATTTTTTTAATACAAATTTTTAAGTAAGCTATTTTGCCAGTTGAAAAACATTATTTTGATGAGCTCAAATCAAAAAAAAATTTTTTGTGATAAAGTTTTGTAAAAGTAAAAAGACGGCTCGTATCAGCGCAACGACTTGAAGGTTTTAGCTGTCCATAAACTAGTCTCGGCTAGTTTTTGGTTATGAATTTTTGCAAACTATAAATTTTAATCTGTATTTAAAAAACGTGCATCGAAATAAAAAGACCAATTAGGCCGCCTCAATTGAATTTGGAACGGTTTTTTGGTGCGGGATAATTTACCACGTGTAAATAACGCGCGTTAATTTTTCAGCATCAAATTATCACAGCGTTCTTATAGTCCTGTTAGTCTATTGATGAGCGTTTCACAGCATTCTTCAAACGAGGATAGCTTAGTAGGGACCACAAAGATCCACAAATTGAGCCCCGGGGGAAATATTTTTGAGAATTGGTCTGAATAAAAAACCACCCCGAGCATACATATTCCTAAGTTTCTTTGAAAGTCGGAACAGTAAAGATTCAAAATGGCCAATTCGAGAAAATGAACGCGAGATATATTTAAGTTGTTTTTACGAGAGCGGCTATTTATTTCGGGTGTCAAATAGTTCCAACTTGCAGTCAATTGAGCTAATCGTTTCTATTAATGCGTTACTTTTCAAAATACGTTTTTTAAAACCACTTCTATTTCAATAAAACTTAAGATATCAAAGCCTTTCTTATTGCAACAGGCAACAGGATATTTGATGATACCTTTCCCGTTTTTGCAATTCTTTTCGTTCTCTTAAATTTTTGCGGTCGATCCAAATTTTACTGCACTTTGTTCTAAACAAGCTACCATAATGCTGAACCATGATAACCAAAAAAAAGTAACAAAAGTGAGATTTGACTTTTAACAAAAGTCATATCGGAGTAATTTTAGACAAAAAGTGATGAGGGCAATTTTTTTCTTTTTTTTGTCCAGGAAGCCGTAAATGAAGCTTCCAAAACTAATGTGTTTTGTAAAAAAAAAGGATTTATTTAGCCTAAATCACCATTTTTTTGACAAACGCTGTTTACTCCAAATTTTGAAAATTTCAAACCAGTTTTTCTCTACTCGGGGACAAGTTTGGAAATTTCGTTCAAATTGCGACCAAAAGGGTTTTAATAAGATGTGCCTCTTGACCCATTCCGATTATTATTTGTGACACCTGATTTTGCATGGAAAAAAGTAACATACACCCGAAGACAAAATTCTCTTTTTCATTGATCGGAGCAATAAAGTTATGACCAAATTAACAATTCTGAACTTGTTTTTTTGAAAGCTTAACAGCCAAAAATCTTTTTTTTTAGTCATACTATCATCTAAACGTACATAAAAAATGAAAAATTTGAAATATGAGGGAGCAGTGAAAACTAATTAAATTTTCCGTTCTAAGCTTTCCAATTTAGGGACGAATATCAGTCTTGTGAGCAGTGGGCTAAAATGGGGCACTGCAAAAGCAGCAGCCACAACTACCGCTTCATGAAGGAGAACTGCAGGCGCACCTGTCACTTCTGCACCGAAACCGAAGACTCCTCCCATTCTCTGATCGGAGACTCGGAGCAGGCGGCAGTCACGAACAAAGAGTGGAAGATTTACTATCACTCATCCGTTCACGAAGACTACTCAGATGTAGTGGGATTAGGAGGCATGATCGACCAACAGGTCACAACTCGTTTTTTCGCTAATTGTCCCATTGTAAAGACTGTTAATGACCTTAGCATTTCTTAATGTTGATTGCTCGAGCCATTCGTGACTTTTCATTTGTAAACGTGCGCACTTCGTAAATTTTGATTGAAACATAAAGTTGGAAACAAGACATGCTAACTAAAGTAATTGAAAACTCAAAAGAAGAAGAATGATTCGACACATCATTTTCAAAGACTCTTGGTTCGAGGGTCCAGGGATCGAATCTCTCGTAGAGAGTTCTCTTATAAGTGTTTTATTGAAATAACTGAACTAAGTTGTCTTTGTTAACATCTGAATCTTCAGGTTTTTTGTTTTGACTATTCATCGAAAGCTTAAATTTGACTGTAGGAATTGAAAGAACTCGGGCACCAAAGACAAGACTTCATAATCCAGTGCAATTTCGACGGCCAAACATGTGATCCAAAATGGTTCAAAGAGTTTCAGAATGACGTTTATGGAAACTGCTGGACTTTCAACGATGATCTGAATGAAATCTTCAGGCCAAGAAACATTTCACAAGCTGGTTAGGCATTAAAATTTTTTTGATGGATGAAGTTGCAGAAAAACTTTTGCTGATGACCATAATTGGTCTAATCCTGAAAAACTTTGATGCAAGCAATTCCAATTCCGAGCAACCTCGAAATGCAACTGCAGAGTTTTTCGAATTCTTAATTTTAAGCTTGTTAATATTTCAGTTTTGGTAAATTTTTCGATATATCAAAGTTTTTCTTCTGTTTGATTTGGGTTGTGTGTTTCTTTGCGGCCATTTGTTTTTTTTACAGGCGTGCAACATGCTCTGCAGATGACTTTGTTTCTTGACACTGAAAACTACCTCGGTCTTCTCTCGCCCAGAGTCGGTGCCCGACTTTCAATCCAGTCGCCAAAACAACCGCCGATGCCCGACGAACTCGGGATCACCCTGACCCCGGGTATTCACACGAGTATCGGTGTCCGACAACGCGAATTATACCGAATGCAAAACCGATACGGTCAATGCCGAGACCAATGGCCCGAGGGACTATCGCTGATGAAGACAAACTCAACTAGTAAAAACCGAACTTACGACTACTCGTACCTGGCATGTAACAAACTATGTATCCAGAACCGACTTTGGTCCGAGTGTAAATGTGTCGAGTCGCTACTTGTTGAGAACCGAAGTCTCTGTAATGTCGTGGATAAGGCAGTGACTGAATGTAGAAACAAAGTTTACAGGGATTTTACAGAGAGTTTGTTTGGTTGTGGTTGTCAGCAAGCATGCTCCGAAACTTTGTTCTCAAAAACAGGCAAGTTAAGTTAATGAACTCCAAATATTTTAGGTCATCGCCTTATTACTACTCAGTAATTGTCTGTGAAAGCGTCTTTTATGCAGACTTTTATGCCAAAAACGAATGTTTTTCAAAACATCTGTGGAAGTGGAACAAAGCATAATCAATACAAATTCTGCTAATTATTACAAATAAGTTAGGAGGAGCTTCGGGTAATACATGTTCGGGGCTGAATACTTGAATTGACCGTGCTTTGTTTTTATTCATCAATTGTAAGTAGTTTCCTTGGGGTGTAAAAATGGTTTAATTAGAGTTATTTCTAGTTTCTGAATCTACGTGGCCCAGTGAGAAATACATGTACCACCTCTACAGACGATTGCTCAATGACGAAAGCAGCCTGGTTAAAGACAGTGTCAAAAACGTACTAGTCGACTTTGTCCAGATGAAAATCAACGCCAGATACCACGAAGAGCGCAAGAACCGAACCAAAAACTCGTTCACGGCGGAGAGTGGCGACAACAAAGGCGGGTCCACACGCACTGGTTGGGATATCTTGTCTTCTATGGAGAGTCTGCTTAAAAGTATGGACTACGAGACTAATGATGACAGACTGAAGAGTTTCCTGCAGAAGAATTTCCTGAGAGTGGAGATCTATTTCGAGGACTTGTCTTACGAGGTGGTCAAGGAGACCCCACAGTATGGCTGGGAGCATATTTTGTCTAATATTGGCGGTGCATTAGGTAGGAGTAGTTTGAAAATCTTGGTAAACTGACATTTACAGTTTTTTCATGGTGTTCCAGCCAGCTTGATGGTTAGCTATGATTTGAAAAGTTTTCTTAGAAAGAGACTGTTAGAACTTTGTATAAAAATCTTTGGTTAGTTAAGGCAATTTATGCACAAGGGAAAGGACCAAGACCATTCAACTCTGCCCGGAGAACCACTGCTGCACCCCGTGCAACTTTTTTGGCATGCAATTACATGTAATTACATGTAAAGAATTACATGCAATTTTTTTGGCTAATTTTCTGCCCCCCCCCCCCATCTCGCAGGGATTCGATCCCCATCCGACCCAAAGGATCCCTCTTTGTAATATTTTGAGATATCCATATTTGGTGACGGACCCTAAAAACTTTCTAAAGGCACCTTTGGCGCCAATATATACTAATTTTGAGGGGTAGTGCGCGCCAAAAAAACGCGATTTTTTGGTCAAAATTTTCAAAAAGTGCTTAAAAACGCCTTTTGTATCTCGCACCTGTTGAGAAAATGGAAATTGAGAAATGAACAAATGCAGGGGCGGATTTAGGGGGGACGCTCTTTCTCTCTCAGGGATTCGACCCCCTGCCGACCCCTTTGGTACTTTTTAAGAAATCCATTTTTGACCGACCGACCCTAAAAACTTTCTAAAGGCGCCTTTGGCGCCAATATATACTAATTTTGAGGGGGAGTGCGCGACAAAAAAAACGCGATTTTTTTGTCAAAATTTTCCAAAAAATGCCCAAAAACGGATTTTTTGACCTGTTTTTTCAAAAATTTGCCTCCGGCGCAGAAAATTTGGTCTATCTACGGTCTCTATAGTGCTTTAGAAGAGCTCGGAAAATCAATTTGGTTGACTACAAAGAAAGGTCGTCAAAATGTTCGAAATTTTTTTGAAAATCCGCCCCCCCCCCCCCCCCCCCCCTCGAGAAAATCCTAGATCCGCCCAGAACAAATGACAAATTTATCAAATGAATTCTGAGCGCAAGAGTGGACTGAGTGTACTCCTTCTTCAGTTTCTAATTCAATTTCCGCTCTACGTGAAGCGTCTTTCTCTCCATTTTAGTAAACTTAATTTACGACATCAACTTTTGATCTAAGCACATTAGAAAGTTTGTAAAGGTGGTGCATTCAGCGTCAGTCTTATCTAAAACAGAGAGCTATCATGTAATACGCAAGATTTTTTCGGCAAAACGGAAGTTTTCATTTATGTCTGCCTAGAAAAATAAATATCGACCGAATATTCTGAATTATTTTTAAAGCCCCCCCCCCCCCCCCTGGTTGCAAAATCGTAGATTCACCTTTACAGAGAGTATATTTTTTGTTTCGAAATTGTGCCATTAGATGAAAACCTGCTCGAAATGATTTGACATGTATGTATTAATAAATTCACGCTATCAACAGTGGCTTCAAAGTTTTCTAAAGGTCTTTTGAGCTTTGCTCTCACACTGGTTTCTGTCAAAACGCGCCATAAATTTCAGCAAATGTTTTCATTAGGATCGGACAGTCCAATATTGACAGCAATTAACCCCAATTTACCCCCATGAAGATAAAGTTCGTTTCAGGATTATGGCTCGGTCTCAGTATCATAACAGTGTTTGAGTTCTGCGAGCTTATCTTCGATCTGCACCGGATTGTAATTTCGAATAATTTCCGCAAAAGACAAACAAAACGGAAGAATTTGCTCAGCGAAAAGTACCTGTCAAGAAGGCAAGCATGTCGGAACAACTTCAACTCTGTCGCCAATCAGGATTAGAAATGCCCCACCCACCCGGTTTGAAAAGGTTTCATGCCATGGGAAGCAAAAAAAAGCTCCTGGAAGTGAAACTAAGCGCAGTCGAAACTTAATTAACGGTACATTCTTCCAAAAAGCCAATTCAGTATAGCTTCTTCTTTTCGTGTTGCATTCTTTTTTAGATTTAATTGTCCGAATTTAAATGTTTGATTTTCTTGGAAAAATTTCTTTTACCAGTTTTATGCTGAGCAAGTTTAGATTGGCTCCTGAAATTGAGTCATTTTCTTTTTCATATCAGGGTCAGAAAATAATGAAAAGGAAAAAACATACATGCAGAGAAGACTTATTAGTCGCTAAATGAGAACAAGACTGCTCGTTTCAAGGCGAAGCCCTGAACGCTCTGACTTCATTTTAATTTCTATGGTATTTTAATTAGAATTTTAAAAACTAATTGAAAAATTTTTCAAAAAGAGTTTTCATTGTACATCATCCCCCCCATGCTACGTAAAGTACAAAGTGATTTATATTGCTTATAGCAAAGTATTAAATAGATCAAAAAGATGCATTAAATTTCCGCTTACACATTAATAGCACGAAATGTATTGCTGGTTAACCGTCCCAAATTGGCCTAACTGACAATCTTTAAACTCCCATAACTATATAAAAAAAGTCACAGCTGAAAAATATTTTTATTTTTGAGCTGGGAAGATCAGCATTTTTCGAATCATTTTTAAAAAAATTGTCAAAAACTGCCAGTTAGAAAGATGAAATTTGTCTGGAGAAAAAACCAACCCGAGCACAAATTATCCGTCATTTTCTTCGAAAATAGTCAGAACAACAAGGATGCTCATAGTTAGTGTAAAACTATTTTTTTCTACAGTCTTGCTGTCACACTGATACTTTTCGCTTCTAGTACGCCGTTGGTCACATTTTCTCGTACCATCTTAATACATGTAATTTCATCAATTCAAAGCAAAAGTGTGCCAATTTTTTTCGTACCACTTCAGAAATGTTCAAAAAAAGTCAGTCAGAAACTATATTTCCATTTCTCGTAACACATGATAAGAAAAGACTATGCAACGATGAATTGAGTCTTAACATATTCAGAAAGATGCGAGTTCATGTGGTCTACGGCTTCAAAAACTCTTTATTACAGTTCTTGTTTGTTTTTCGGTTGCGGACCATCATACACCCTGGAACTCAACATGCCGCACGTTTTCTATAATGTTAAGGTCCGGGCTCCTGCTGGGCCACGGTAGAAGCTCAATTCCCGTCTCCTCGAAAAAGTCCAACTTTTTTTTGAAACATGAGTACTGCAGTTGTCTTGTTGCAGAACGAAATCATGTGTAGAATGTCTCTCATTAAAAGGCTGGCAGTGTCTTTCATAAGATTAATGTAGGTGTCTGCATTTATTGGACCAGATATCGTTTTGACCAAAATGTGACCGATAGAAAAAATCATACCCAGACCATTAGAGAACCACCCCCACATTGACGTTTATTGAGGTAAACTTGATGATTTTCCTCCATCCAGGAACACGTCTAGGTTAAATTTTTTTTTCATCCGTAAAGACGACTTCCTCCCAGTTTTTGGGTTTAGTCAACCATTCAGTGCAGAGGCGTACTCAATTTTCTTTCTGTTTTTACGTCACAATTATTGTGAATTTTGCATTTTTATGCCTATGCCTCATTCTTGATTAAGCTCGATGAACCGTTCTTCTGCTGATTTTGAAGGCTGCCTCCCTCAGGATTTTGTGGCTGTCACCTTTTTTTTGCGTTTTTTCAGTAAAGACATGCATCGTTTTATACACAGTTTTTTGAAGCCAACGGCCAAATGCTTGGGTTCCGCTTTGCTTTCACTCTTGAGTAGTGTTTCTTGATCATATATTGCACTGTTGATCTTGGTAATTTCAGTTCTTGGCTGGTTCGGCGATATAAAAAACCATTTGCATGTTTTTCTTTCGCTAACTCGATAATCGCACGTGATTGCATGTGATAAATTGATCAAACTGAACAAAAACTGCACAAACTGATCGTGCGTGAGTGCATGTACACAGAACCATTTGCGCCCAGTTCATGACATTTTTCAACAAAAAACCAAGGGTACGAAAAAATTTGGCCAACTTTTTTCTTTAAACAAGTGTTTACCATGAATTATGATGGTACAAAAAATTATGACGCGGAGTGTAATTTTTCAAAGAGACCAAACAGCTTGCTCCAATTTAATTTAGGTTGATTATAGCCGGATTATTTCGCCACTTAGGCGTTTGAAGAACCGACCATATCGCGCCTTAATAATCTTCTTTGCGTAAAAAATTGAACACCTATATGTTTACAAAAATTGCATATGAAATATCTCTGTAACTTCGAGCTCAGTGGAGCAACTTCTTTTAGATAGTATAAACTGACTTGGCTCAAAATTTGCTTCTTAAAAAATCGTTATTATCATTACAAAAACAGTTTTGAGGGCAAACATTCCGTCACTTTCTTCAAATTTTGGAACTAATAGCATCGAAATTGAAGTTTCATTTTATATAGGATGTGCACAGTTTTTAAACTAATTTAACCAGTCTTTTTTACGGTTGAGATCAAAAGAAAAAACTTTCAAAACTGATAATGTAGTTTCGGCAAGCGACGCCCTATAGTAGTAGATATTGGAGCTGAAGTGGGGGAATGGGGGACCCTGAAGACCCACATGTATTAAGATAGGGAATAGAGCATCCGGTCTTCAAGCTATGTATTAAGATTGGGTATAGAGTCTACAATGTATTAAGATAGGGAAATTAAGACAGGTAAGATAATGGTGAGAAAAAAACGAAATTTTTTTGGTTCTTGTTTATTTTTTTATCGCAAAATTGTTGGCGCGCGTTATCTAATTGGGAACAATTAATTGTTAATTACGTGTAGAATTAAGGTTTTGTATTCAGTTTTTTTGGTGCATGGTAAGTCAATGGTAAATTGAAAATTTTTTCGAAAAAAATTCAAAACACGATAAGATTAGCTATTATTTAACCTAATTTTTTAGATAATTCTATTTCTATCTACTTGAAAAAAAGGTGAAAACTACTGAAGTTTCGAAAAAATCAAATTTTTGAGAAAAAATTGCAAAAATGTCAAGTATTTGGAAAAAATTGCAAAAGTTTCAAGTATTTGGAAAAAATTGCAAAAAATTCAAGTATTTGGAAAAAATTGCAGAAAACTCATAATTTTGGCTAATGTATTGTTGCTTTTGATCTAATTTTAAACATACTTTCACGTATAGATTTTAAAAATAAGCTAAGACTGTATTTTATTTGGCATTATCTTGAGACAATGATACAAAATTTTGAATAAAGAAATGACTTTTTCCACAATTTTTTCTCAAAATATTGAAATACAATGAAGTTTACCTTAATTTGAGTTAATATTTGGTTATACAATGCTCTAAACACTGAAAAGAAGATTCATAGTAGCAGAATCAATATTGAAACTTCCGGAAACAGTGAAATTAGTCGTAATTTTCGAGTTAGGTAAAATGAAAATTAATCAAATTTACAAGAAATTTTCCATTTCGAACCTTTTATTTTGGTTTTTAACTGTTTTGTTTGTCCAGTTCAGGGATTATTTTTAGGAATCTCAATTCAAATGAACATTAAGGGCAATATTCTATGAAATTTCTAAATCAAACTCCATGATTCAACTCCTCCTCATTTTTTTCTCATTGAATTACCCAAACTTGTACAAAAATTACAACTTGTGAGAAATTTTTTATGTTAAAAATTAGAAATTTCAGATTATTGATAAGAAAATGAACAGTTTATTGCTAAAATTGCTTAAAATGGGATAAATGTTTCTTAAAAATTTATTCGATTTTGGCTCAAATTCAACAAAAACTTCTTCCTAACTGATGATTATCTCTCTGTTGCTTCTGCAACGTAACTTTCAAGATTTTCCGTAGAGTTTTTCCATGTTTTAAAGTTATTCTTGCTTTCTGTTTAAGACAAGTTTTTGCCATTGAACACACTTTACTAGAAAATTTAGTCAACACTGGAGAATTTAGGAGAATGTCCAATTGCATGTTTTTCTTTCGCTAACTCGATAATCGCACGTGAGTGCATGTCAAAATTTGAACAAACTGAACAAAAACTGCATAAACTGATCTTGCGTGAGTGCATGTACACAGAACCATTTGCGCCCAGTTCATGACATTTTTCAACAAAAAACTAAGGGTACAAAAAAATGTGGCCAACTTTTTTCTTTAAACAAGTGTTTACCATGAATTATGATGGTAGAAAAAATTATGACGCGGAGTGTAATTTTTCAAAGAGACCAAACAGCTTGCTCCAATTTAATTTAGGTTGATTATAGCCAGATTAATTAGCCATTAGGCGTTTGAAGAACCAACCAAATCGCGCCTTAATAATCTTCTTTGTGTAAAAAATTGAACACCTATATGTTTACAAAAATTGCATATGAAATATATTTGTAACTTTGAGCTCAGTGTAGCAACTTCTTTTAGATAGTATAAATTGACTTGGATCCAAATTTGCTTCTTAAAAAATCGTTATTATCATTACAAAAACAGTTTTGATGGCAAAAATTCCGTCACTTTCTTCAAATTTTGGAACTAATAGCATCGAAATTGAAATTTCTTTTTATATAGGATGTGCACAGTTTTTAAACTAATTTAACCAGTCTTTTTTACGGTTGAGATCAAAAGAAAAAACTTTCAAAACTGATAATGTAGTTTCGGCAAGCGACGCCCTATAGTAGTAGATGTTGGAGCTGAAGTGGGGGGGGGGGGGGACCCTGAAGACCCACATGTATTGAGATAGGGAATAGAGCATCCGGTCTTCAAGCTATGTAATAAGATTGGGTATAGAGTCTACAATGTATTAAGATAGGGAATACCGATGGTAAGGTTTCAGTGTGATGGTAAGATAATGGTGAGAAAAACGAAAATTTTTTGGTTTTTGTTTACTTTTTTACCGCAAAATTGTTGGCGCGCGTTATCTAATTGGAAACAATTAATTGTTAATTACGTGTAGAATTAAGGTTTTGTATTTAGTGTTTTTGGTGCATGGTAAGTCAATGGTAAGAGTTTTTGTGCAAAAACTTGGAATTTTTATCGAAAAAACTGAAAATTTTTTCGAAAAAACTCAAAACACGACAAGATTAGCTATTATTTAACCTAATTTATTAGATAATCTT